CACTTTTATAGTCTTTTTTTGTTTCTATACAGTTTTTATATGGATGACATATGTTATTGAAATCAAATAGATGTTTAGACAGGGTTATTTCTAGTGAAATCAAAAATTTTAGGCTAGACATGGTGGGTCACATCTGTAATCCCAGAATTTTAGGGGGCTGAGGTGAGTGAATTATGTAAGGCCAAGAGTTCAAGATCAGCCTGGGCAACATAGTAAGACCCGGTCTCTACAAACAAACAAACAAAAATTGTAAATAACTATGTATGTGCCTATAGTCCCAGTACTTGGGAGACTAAGGCCAGAGGACCACATAAGCCCAGGAGTTCAAGGTTATAGTGAACTGGTGTGACACACCAGCCTGGATCACAGAATGAGACTTCAACTGTAAAAAATAAAGAAGCAAACATTTCGGCAACCTATGAGTAGTAAAACCTAAATTTGGAAATATTTAGTTTGATTTTTCCAAAGGTATCTCTCATACTTCATAGTTGATACCATTGAAATAAATATATTTCTGAAAGAAAAAAAAGAAGTTCATCTTTTTATGACTAATGACTAGAGAAATATTTCCAGTTAATCAACTGCTATGTGTTTTCTAGACAATGATAAACTATCCAGATGATTAAATAAATTGCTCATTTCTTACCTAAAAAATCAGTGGTTTTTACAGTTATGATAAAATATATAAAATATTAATTTACTTAAATTTCTAACAAACCATAAAAAAATGAAGACATTGCTTGTCTTTGTTTGTAATGCCAATATATTTGTATGTGTTGGATGACTGAGAAAGGATGCTGTGCTAGTTAACTACAAGGCTGACTTAAGTAATTTTAGAACAATTTTTACTTACATTAATCTGATACTGTATAATAAAGTAAACATACAGCTTTTAAATGCTGCATCAGCCTTTTAATATTTTAATAGTTTCCAAATAGCTCTGCCGTAGATTTAATACCTGTAATAGTTTTAGCAATCTAATTATTCTCCTTGGAGAATAAACAAAAATAAGAACAAAACTATTAAACAAATTTTGGCCAGGTATAGTTACTCATGACCATAATCCCAGTGCTTTGGGAGGTCAAGGTAGGAGGAACACTTGAGTTTGAGAATTCAGTACAAGCCTAAGCAACATAGTGAGATCCTGTCTCTACCAAAAAAAAAAAAATTCAACTATATGGGTTTGGTGGCAAGTGCCTGTAGTCCTAGCTACCCAGGAGGCTGAGGTGAGAGGATCACTTGAGCCCAGGGGTTAGAGGCTTCAGCAAGCTATGAGTATGCTACTGTACTCTGCCTGGGCGACAGAATGAGATGCTATCTCTAAAACAAACAAAACCAAAATTTAACTGACCTGAGTATAAAAATGAATTCTTAATTTTCACATTTCTATGTGAAAGTAGTATTTCTCATTCAAAATAGTTTCAATATTTGTGATAGGATATAACGGTGAAGTTTCCTGGAGCTATCTCAGATTCAAAAGCACTTGAACTTTATATCTGAAAAGAAAATCAGGTACAGAGTTGATTTGATTTGATATGATATGATTTGATTTGATGTGATATGATTTAATTTGATGTAAGCACATAGCAGAACTTTCAGGTTCATCAGGAATACATAAACTCTATCAGAACCAATAAATCCAGGGTTACACTGTTCTTTATTAAATAAAATACTCCGAGTAATAAAGGTTTAAATAATTTTGTCCTTACAGAATTGACCTATTTCAGAACACTGCTATTTTCCCAGGACAATACAAGGGAGAAAGAACAGCTTATATATTATATAATAACATTTATTTAATACTTTGCTATATTCTAGGTACTGTGCTAAGTTCTTTCATGCAGCATTTCATGGAACTCACACAACCCTATGAGCTAGACACTATCGACATTGTCATTGCATGGAGGAGACCGAGGCAGTAAGCAGAGGAGCCAGTAGATACATTATGGGAATAGTGACTGAAGCTAAGGAATGAAGCCAAGAAGTTAGCCAAGGAGAAGAGCTTTCCCAGGAATCCAGGATGACTCATGGCTCATCCTTCCCACCCAGGGACAGTAATTTCATGAATCTCAACAATTATCCAAGCAGGGTAGCCAAGGAAATGGAGATACTTGGGGACTGAGATGTAGGGAAGTTTCTCAGTTATGTCTGAAATTGTGCCACTATTGTCAACTGCCTACCCTAACTGTACAGATAGTCCATCACATTTTTTTTAACTTTCAAATTTTTTTTATTTTAAAGATGTGGGATATAATTCAGGGTTAGGTACACAAATGTTCATTATGGAAGTACCCTTGTTGATGAGGTGTGCCCCCCCTCCCGGCAGATCCCCACTACTCCAGTCTCCCCCTCCCCCCACAGTTTTCTGCTATGCCAAGTCTTTTCTTATAGTATGATTATTGTTCAAGGTCCGCTTATGTGTGAGTCCAACATGTGTTAAAAATGGTTTCTAAAATTTGGGGGAAAATTGGGGGTTGGAGAGAGAATGCATTATAGAAACATACCCACAAATAGGAATTCATTTTTACTGGGCTTGGAGGCAGTTCGATATATTGGAACTTTTCTATGTTGTCACCAGGCAAAGAACTAATCCATTTTCTTTAGGTTTTCCTATAGCTACCAGTTCAACTCAGTTCATACTGACCTCATGTTCTTTCTAGAAATACTTGCTATATTTCTGATTTAATTCTACCTGGCCAGATATTAAGACAACTCTCTAATACTCAGAAACATAGACTTCAAGCAAGCTATTGTGATCTAGAAATAAAGATGCATTTTCTTGACCTACGTCGTGAGTGTAATGGAACTCTTACTGGTTCAGCTGAATTTTCCTTTTTGCTTTCCTGGAATTACTTGTTCGTTCCAGGAGCTGCAACTTATTACATTAATTCATAACATTAGATAATTTAAATTCTTCCCAAGTACTAATTATTAAGACTTTTTATTTAAACATCACCACAGTGACTTTTATACAAACAAATCCCCAGCAGCCAAAAAATGATTTAGAATCAAATTTCTTTTTCTTTGCTTCGGTATATGGCAACTTGAGAAAAAAATGTACCTCATTTTTTCTAGAATATAAAATATGCCAAGCTGCAAAGGTTGAAGTTTAAGAAGGAATAATTTTTTTTTAAAGTATATAGACATCTAAATGAATGTTTGGTCCACTGTGGCCCTCAATAAAAGCAAGTGAAAGAACGATCTTTATAAAGGGTTATCTTTTCTTAAGCAATGCTGCTTTGTTTCCCCCCTCCCTCCTCCCCAGATGGCTAGAGACAAAAATGAGAAAAAGAAAATGACCAGGAAAAAAATTACTCTTTTCTAGTAGATCTTTCAATTCGGTTACTGAAAAACATAAATCTGAGGCACATCTCTAAATATTTATACCTTACTGATTGTAGGAAAGATCAGAACGATATCTAAACTGATTATTTCAGAAAATCAGTTCTGGTTAAGAGAGTAAAAGGCTTTTAGCTACTTTGAACCTGAACCGGCCAATGCTAACAGCCACTACTGGAACGCTAGTGACTTTTGGGGGGGACAGATGTTCTTGGATATCCTGATTCTGCATTTTAAGTATTTCTGTGGTGGCTTTTAACCTCTCTTATCTCAGTGTGACTTAACCTCTTGTAATTTCACTTTGCTTGAGTTTAAAACGTGAATAATAGTACCCATTATATCAAGCTGCTATGGTAATTAAATGAGATAACGTATGAAAACTCTTAACATACAACTACTCAGTAAATGTCAGTTATTTTCTTCTCTGATACTAGTTAAAATTTAGAAAGCCCTACAAGTGAAATTTGAATTGGAACTATAACTCAGGTGATTACATCTTTCGAAAGCAAAAGTGCATTAAACATTTGAAGAGAAATCTGTGCATTTACAACTCATTCAACTGCAGATAACAGCCCTGTTTGCTGGAGATGCTAAGAGCTGCCATGCAGCCATTGAGGACCTGATATCTTCACTGGAAAGTGGAGAGGTTACACTCCAGCAGCCTGGGAGCCCCACTCTGCCTTGGACATTAGTAACAGGACTTTAATACAATCCAAATCTCCCCTCTGTAAAGTGTATGTGGCTGGGAAATGCCACATATGGAGGTAACGCTGTAGCTCTGTGAGTTAAGAGGTTTGTGATAACTAGAGAGGTAAGTGCCTCTCTGTGCAAGACTCCTGTTAAGACAACCCTCTTAAAAATGAACGGGCACGGTGGTGTGCCTCTGTAGTTCCAGTTACTTGGAAGGCTGAGGCAGAAGGATCACCTAAACCCAGCAGTTCGAGACTGCAGTGGCCATGAATGTGCCACTGTACTCCAGTCTGGGCAACAAGAGTGAGACTTCAACTCAAAAAAAAAAAAAAAGAAAAAGAAAAGGAAAGAAAAGAAAAGAAAACAAGAAAGCCAATACAATAGTACAAAGCGAAAGAAGTTAGGAAACTTGAAGCTATTTTACAAAGGAGTGTGCTGGGTCATCAGGTACAATTTGAATATACTCTTTTAGTGGAAATGTTGAGGATTTTTGAAGACAAATTATTACTAATCATCATAGCATGCATGTCTGGAATTACTAACATTTATTTTATTCTCTTGTAATAATGGATATTCCAAACAAAGTTTTGACATCAAAATAGCATTTTTAAAAATTCATAAAATAACTGTTTATTTAAGAAAGGAAACAAACACGTGATTTGCTGAAGTATTAGCACACTAAACAGCCAATAATCAGACATGAGTATTTCTGTGAAGTCATTAACAATGTAAATGAACATTCAATCATTCTTCAAGGAGACTATGTCTAACCCACAATAGTGGTCTTTCAAAGCTCATATGAAACTTTTGAGGAAAGTAACAACCATTTTGCAAAAGAAATTTTGTATTTATATGACAAAATTAAGATTCTGAAAGCTCAAAACTCTTCATTACTCAAGCTTGCTTTAAATGCACACATAAACACACCTGTACAAACACACTTACATACATGAAACAGAAAAAACACTTACTGTCACTTCATTCATGCTCAGGAGCTTGGGGCTAGGTGGTAAGGTGCCAAGGCGAAACTTAAAACCATCTTCTAAAGTCATTCCCCAGAACTGACTGTAGTTTTGTGCTGTCCATCTGCCTTACAAATGAAAGAGAAAAACATGTACAGATCATGTGACATCACTTTTATAAACACATGCTCATTTACACAGCAGACAATCTCACAAGATGGGAACTGTTAGTTCAAGCTGGATATTGTTTATATATAGATAGTGCATTATTGATTATTTTAATAATCAAGGCTATGAGATATTCTTCCTAAATTAGGTCCATTTCAATTATCTTAATGACTCCTTTGAGTAACGTAAGTCCATATTACTATGTCTAAAACTAAGAAAATGAAATATTTACATATGATAAAGATTAAGCGATAATAAGACCAATATATGAAGTTTTCTTTAAATGTCATTAAATGCATTTCAGAAAGAAGTTTGAATATACAGAAATGTACCTATAAATTAAGTAAGGTATTTTGTTTTATCATTTAAATTTGAATAAAAGTTGACCAGGTAAAAAGAAGTAGCCATGAGAATTTGAGGACAAAATAATTGCACTTTTAAGAAATTACATCAGTGATAATAAATTAGATATTAAAATATTCTATCTTATATTACACAGTTAATTTGTGTTAAGTATTTAATAATCTTAGTTAATAAATCAATTGATGTGAAATCAGGTAACAAAAGCACATTTTTACTAGAGACATAATGTGTGCTCTTACTTAGGAAAAGAAACTGCTTTCAAATTTTAATACTGAAATTTGAAGACAACAAAAATTTGTTAAGAGATGATCACAAATAAAAATTAGAAATATGAAAAAAATAATCATTGCTTATTTGAATTATCAACAATTTGAGGGCAATATATTTTCAATACTTAAGTCAAAACTATATTTTAGTCTTTTGTGTTTATCACCAACATTGTTTATGGTGTGATAGACTCTTATGAATGATTGTGATATTCTTATGAATGCAACAACATTTTTAATAGTATGCCTTACAGGTCAGTTTTTTTTTAGATCTGTGCTAAAATATTTAGCAACATTCAGCAACAACTTAAAGCAAACCTTTATCCCCAAGGAATTTTAATAAAAAAACTTTTGAATACATGAGATATTGAAGTATGATTCAAGAGACTAATAGGATCTGCCTTGGGCCAAATTGTGACATCAATAAAATATGGTTTTGGTGCCCTACACTAGTAGTTTTCAAACATCAGTCAGAGACATCAATAGGTCATTTAATTAAGCACTCAATTTAGTGAGCAGGGATGAGCATTTTAAAAATGAAACAGAAGACAGAAGAAGTAATAGGACATAGTAAAGTTTATTACAAATAATGAGTATAAGTACTGTTTCTCTCTCTCTCTCTCTCTCTCTCTCTCTCTCTCTCTCTCTCTCTCTCTGTGTGTGTGTGTGTGTGTGTGTGTGTGTACTAGATTACAAATTCAAATGTATATTTTACTGTGGGTTATGCTCAGAAATGTGTGAAAGACACGACTACCTATACCATCTTCTTTGATCCAATCTCATAACTTTTCTTTTAATCCAATTTAATATTTATTGAGTTTTCTAATTTATCTATCATATTCACTGATAAATGCTGGGAGCATAGCTATGAATACATTTCCCTACACTCAACAAGCTCAAACCCTCACAAAGACTACAAAGAAATAGCATCAGTGTTATTTATTTATTAGCAGTAAGTCAAAATATGATCAGAGTAGAAGATTCAAACATAACTCTGCCCAGAGGAGTTGGCACATTTTTAACAGAAAGTGAATTTAGTATTCAGTCTGGAAGGTGAGAATGAGTTTGGTGACCAGATGTGAAAGGAGAAATTTATTTTAATCAAAGGAGATGCTTAAGCAAAGCATGCAGGTGTGAAGTTGGGTGGCACATTTAGGGATTGTTAGATAAGTTAAATGCTTAAACTGGAAGAGGGGATAGGGGCTCAGGGGCTGAAGAGGGTGTAAAAGATTAGGTAGTAAAGAAGCTTTGGGGTCAAAGAGTTATTTACGTTAAGGACAACAATTTATTCCATTACCAATGGAGGATCATTGAAGATATCTGGAAACAGAGACAAGTCAGGTCATTTCAAACTAGGCTTGATAAAGAAATGCACAAGAATATAGCCTAGAAATAGAGGAAATAAATATCTAAGAGAAGCTTTGAGGGTAGGAATTAGCAAAACTTGAGACTGAGAGTGCAAAAGAAGGAAGAATCAAACTAATGTCACATTTTCTGGCTTGGTTGACCAAATAGAGGGAGATAGCAGTAACCAAGGATAGGTAGAAGAAGATAATCCCTTCGGTTTGGGGTTGGCTGGTTTTGAAAAACCGGTGAAATCTCAAGTCAGAAATTATTTGTGTTCTCAGAAATAACACAAGTGGAATGCATATTTTATTAATACTAATTGATTGCATTGAAAAATAACAGAGAATAGCTTATTCAATCTACTAGAACTTGAGTTCATAAGAAAATCTAGTTTGAAGATGTGATCAGTTAAAAATGGCCACAAATTATTTGCAGCTCTTTCCATCAAAAGGTGGTAGTGTCTTTTGTCTAACCTTTGAATGAGGGCTGGCCTGGTAACTTGCTTTGCCCAACAGAAAGCAATAGAATTGATGCTGTGAAACTTTCAAGCATAAGTCTCAAGAGCAAGCTTGTGCAGTGTTCACTTATACTATCTTAGAACTATCATTATGAAATGAATCCAAGGTCAGTCTGCCGGAGACATAAGGCCCAATCAACAACTAGCACCAACCGTAACACTTGGGAGCAAGGCTGTTTCAGACAACTCAGCCCCAGGTGAGGCTCTGGATATCTGGATATCTACAAACCAGGAATAACCCCAGAAAAGAGCAGCAGAAGAGCCTCAGTAGAGCCCATTGCAATTGCTGATGTAAACAACTGAAAAGTTTGTGATTTTAAAGTGGTAAATTCTGGAATGGTTTGTGAAACAGCAGCAGATCATTGAAACAGTGATGTATCTTTTACTCCACCAATTTGTTGGTTATTTCTTGTGCCACTAATTTGGCACTTATCTTCTACCCCATCACTAGGAGACCCTTTTTGTAAAAGTATGGCATGGTGGGTCCTCAACTAAATGATAAATTCCTTTGAAACAGAAATGATCTATATGCATCTTCAGCAAAGCCACAAATAGAACACGTTTTATTAATATCAAATGATTGCATTGAAAAATAATCCAGAGAATAAATCAATGCTGAAGTACACTGTATAATAAATAAAGACTTGGATCTAAAATACTGTCAAGACATGAGGAATAAATGTTTTAAAGCAAACGTTGTATATTTGTATGTAGGCTATTTTAAAAATCACTTAATAAATATTGAATCATATAATTATATTTTCACACATGAAAACAATTTGAGCAACATGAAGAGAGAACAACTGAGAATTAGAACTTTCATTTAAACTCAAGGATGCTTTTTTTCCCAATAGGTAATTTCAATTTTTTTCCTTTTCTTCATAGATTTTTCCTTTTATTTAACTTTTTTCTTTTGTCTATACATGTTTCCCTTTTTGTTATACTTCACTTTCTACTCTTTTGAAGTCATGTAATGCTCTAACGTTTGCTACTAAATTGCAAAGTTCATGCCCCTTAAGTAGTCCAAGTATATGCTCAAAACAAGCAAATGATAGAAAGTTCTTCCTTCCAAGGAAGGCAGCACTCCCAACAACTTCTGTACTCTTAAGTGTACTTTCTTACCACATTGTTTAAGACTGTGGTTTCTCCTGTATCCTGTAACAAAGGAAAATGGGCTACTCTATTACAGTTTCTTGGAAAGGTGTGCTAGTTAGATCCGGCATTTGCCTCCTCTTAGGAAACTGATTCAGATAATTTCTGAAGATGACACATACTCTCATGTTATTTGAATGAGGTAAATGTCATTTAGTCATAGAAAATTATAATTAGTTTTCCTTAGAAATACTTAAAATGTCATCAAGTTATCAACTAAACTACTGGCAAACAGAGAGAGAGAGAGAGAGAGAGAGAGAGAGAATTGAGAGTGGTTTAAGAATATTAATGCCAACAAATGTGACTTTCTATATTTTGTGCCTTCCAAGAAAATACTTCAAGTACATTGACATCCAGTGTAACCATTGTGCTGGGATCATAGCATCTTATATGTGGATGGAAAGGACACTTCTATTTTTAAAAAATACATCTCTCTCTCAAGCCTGTAATCCCAGCTCTTTGGGAAGCTGAGGCAAGAGGATTGCCTGAATCCAGGGGTTTGAGACCAGACTGGGCAACTTGGTGAGATCTCGTTACTACAATAAATCATAAAATTAGCCAGGTGTAGTGGCACATGGCTGTAGTTCCAGCTTCTTGGAAGGCTGAGGTGGAAGGATCCCCTGAGCCCAGCAGGTTGAGGCTGCATGACCATGAGGGTGCCATCACGCTCCAGCCTGGGCGACAGTGAGACTCCAAATCAAAAAAAAAAAAAAAAGGAAAGAAAAGAAAAAGAAATACACCTCAAGATTATTCCACTTTTCCAGTTGCTTGATGATAGATTTTCTTATGTAAAGTCTTTTCCAGAATGTCGAAGTCATTATCAAAGATACACAAAGATTTGATTAATGGTTGTGGAGAAATCTGGAGGCAGAATACAGCTAGTCTATTCTTCTTCCTTTCAGTTTTGTAAAGAAAGTCAGTGTTGCTGCCCACATCTTAATTCTCTCCATGTAAGTGAAGTCACTCAATTTATCAATGTAGGAGAGCATCAGTTATTGTCAGTGTTTCAGCGTCAATCATTTTTATCTTTAGTTTACCAGCAAAGTGGCTTAACCTATCTTTTGTAGGTAAAATTGGCTAGATGTAAGTCATTTTTTAGATTGAAATTATTTAGATTGACTTGTTATTGGAGGGAATCATTAAGATCAAATACTGTCCTTTAAAGGTCAGATTCAACCTAGGATTGCTAAGCATGTGACAGCAGCAGAGGGAAATATGATTAGCATGAATAAATTCATTTAACTGACTTCTTAGTTTTGCCTAAATACTTATCCAGAGTAAATCTCTCTCCACGCTTTTTATCTACACTGGGACATTGCTCTTTCCTAGATCATTTACAAGCTATGCTCTACATTTTTCTTTTATTTGTGCATTTTTGTTATTAAATGTTCATATTTGTATCCCAGTTTCCATGCTATCTCCTTTCCCATTTCTCCCCCACTCTTTCTTTTTAAACAATGGCCATTTTTAGACAGGCGATACACTGCTTGAAACCTAAGGACTGAGAGTGCCAAGAAACAAATAAAGCAAGATTTCTCTCACCCATAGTCTCCTTTATTGATGTGATCAATTAATTCTGGACAAACAAGGCATACATGCTGGGAGCATTTCCATTGTTGTCCTGAGCATGTGCTGTAAAGATATGACAATTACAAAAGTGGCCTAGCCTTTATGGAGTATATTTTAAAACTAGTAGCAAGAGTTGCACATTGGTAAGGCATAAAATATAATCTCTTGATTAATGGTAGCCATATGGTTCTTTGATTCTGAGCAAAAATTGTCATAGAACATACATTAGTTACCAATCAATACACCATTATCCTCTTCTCTAGGCAATTAATAAATAGTCACACATTCATTGAAGTTTGGAAACATAAGACAATTTGGACAGCAGGCTCACTGTACTTGTATCTGAAAATTTTCTACAGGGTAATTATTTTAAAGCAGCCTGTTTTATATATATATTGTTATTGTACTCAGAAAATACAATTTATCTGTAGCATAGCAGAATGCGTATAATTAAGAAGTATATTTAATATAGGCCTACTGTATGATGGACCATTGTAAGAACATCAAACTCAAGCATTAAAATATATATATAATGAAATTTTCAATATTCATTAAAATTAAATATGCTTATATAAAGCAATAGCTATGTGATGCCTTATAACATATGATTCTTCCTATATATATTTAAATACATTTTTTTCCACAAATATTCCTTTTGCTTGAAGAAAACATACACAGACAGTAGAATTAAATTCTTTGCCACTTAAATTCATTACCAGGAGTTGCAGTTTTCTTTAATAATATATCCTTCTTCATAATGTTGACCATCTCTGAAGCAACCTGTCAATATGACATATAAACAAATGAAAATTCTATATTGAGTAATAAAGTACATTCACACAACAAGTATTCTAAAATTGTGGTTGGTTTTTCAAATATGCAAAAACATTTGGTGCCAAGATGACAGAAACTCACATCTGCTTTGTGTCAAGGCTTATATATTGAATTTGGGGGTGCTTATTTTAGAACTTTTATCTTTAAACTGCATATTATGTTCAAGCAGAGAGTTTGTAAATCATGAAAATTAGATTACTAAGGAATTAATTACTTAAACTCAAAAAATAATTATGTTTTTAAATAGATAAGCAATATAACAGTATTTATGGCATTTCTCATTTTTTAAAAAAGTAAAATCCTGTAAGTGAGTAAAATTAATTAGATGTGACTAGAGCAAGCAGCTCACAGCTTTGGATTCAAAATACAAAGTCATTTATAATTTACCCTACAAATATAAATGTATTTTTTTCTTTAGTGTCTGAATCAGGAGAAAAATTTATACGATCAGTAAGATTGCAGCCATTTATTTTCCAGATCCAAATGTTTCTTAATTGTTAACTGAAACCAGTTGTTAACTGGTTTATCAGATTATCTAAACTACTCAAAAAAGATGAATGCTAAAACATCATTACCATATGAAAACTATCAGTAAGATGTTGTGAAAATAATGCCCTGGTTACAAAGTAAATCCCCTTTGAAAATATATCTGCTCAAATTTAAAATTAACACTGAATTAGCAAAAAAAGACTCTAGTGAAACTTTTTTTGACAGAAACATGTAATTGATATACCAATGGTCTCCAACTAAATGAAATAAATTCTAACTTTTGATTCATAAAATCAAAGGAGAAAACATATGTTTAGAAAGCATCTCAAGGGACCCAGTTTAACTTCTAGCCACAGCATCACAAAAGCTTCTTATGGAATTAGCTATCCTATGATTTTTTTAAAAAACTGTTTCATAGGAAATATATAACTGCCCCTCCCCAGCATGCAGCATGTTTCACAGTTCAGTATTCTGCTTGCTGAATCTTTTTTTAATATTTGCAGCCCACGTCCTGGGCAAAGAGAAATAAACCACCTCTCTCCTGACCACAGGTGCCCTGAAGTAGCAAACCTAGGACAGAGGGAAGATCTAACTTTAAATCAACCAGAGTTTTAATTGTTACAAAGGTTTAGACACTTTTAATAAAAGAACTAACACTGTGTGTGTAACTTAAAGACACCCTCAAACCTTCTACCACATAAGAGTAACAGAAAATTCATGTGACAATCCAAGTTTTCATTCAAAGGTAAGGGAAGTACTTCCTTAACTATCTTAAAGGAAAAGTGGGGAGAAAAACAAAGCTGATTTTAACTCATACCTCATAAATCTTGAGTTGGAGTCTCACTGTCACCCAGATTGGAGAGCAATGGCTGCTCCTAGCCACCGCAGCCTCGACCTGCTGGGCTCCAGCGATCCTTCCACCTCAGCCTTCCAAGCAGCTGGAACTACAGATGTGCGCTACCACACCCGGCTAATTTTTGATTTATTGTAGAAATGAGATCTCGCCAAGTTGCCCAGGCGGGTCTTGAACCCACGGGCTCAGGCAATCCACTCACCTCAACCTCCCAAAGTGCAGGATTACAGGTTGAGCCACCGAGTATTTTTTTTTAATTGAAGTGTCATATTGGCTTGTTAATCAGTATAATGTTAATAAGTAATTAGCTCTTATTGGTTAAATTATAGTTTTAAAGTTATGTAGGTTTTTTGTTTGGTTGGTTGGTTTTTTGAGTCGGAGTCTCACTCTGTTGCCCAGGCTGGAGTACAGTGGCACGATCACAGCTCACCACAACCTTGACTTCTGGACTCAGGAGATCCTTTGCCTTAGTCTCCCGAATAGCTGGGACTACAGACATGAAGTCCACAAGCCTGGCTAATTTTTCAATTTTTTGTAGAGAGGAGATCTCACTTTGTTGCAAAAGCTGGGCTTAAACTCCTGGGCTCAAGCCATCCTCTCACCTCAGCCTCCCAAAGTGCTGTGATTATAAGTATAAGCTACCATGACTGGCCAAATTTTGAGTTTTCAACATATCAATTATATGGATAAAGGGAATAGACATCTTAAAGATCCTAAGGAAAAAAAAAATAGACTATCTGTTCTCTGACTTGTACTCAGCTAATAATTTTGAAATCAAGAGAATGCCATTACTGGGCCTATCCCAATTATCAGCAACTGCATTTCTTGGTCATCCTTCCATAATATCAAGTCAAAGTTAACTATGAAACACTACATTCACTTTAATTGCACTTGAGAATTGTTCTCCTGCACAAAAGCTATAATCAGTTATACCTGAACTTGGCCAAGGAGCTGACAGAGTAAAGCATCATATGATAATAACATGTCTGTAATTTATTATAAAATGGTTAATCCCAGTGTGTATAAATACCTGTGCTGTTCTAAACCTCACTGTAGGAAAGACAGGAATCTATACCTAGGGTTGGTCAGTGGCATTCGTTCTGAAAGATCAGACTTCAGGACAGTTGCTACAAGTGCTTCTATTGATCAACACGAGTGTTAGTATAATAATGTTAATTGGTTTTTACTAATAAAATTAATGGTTTGTTAATCAGTATAATGTTAATAAGTAATCAGCCATTATTGGTTAAATGACAGTTTTAGAGTTATGTAGTTTTTTTTTGTGGGGGGAGGTCAGGGTTTCACTCTGTTGCCCATGCTAGAGTGCAGTGGCATGTGCATGGCTACTGCAGTCTCGACCTGCTGGACTCAGGTGATCCTTCCGCCTGAGCCTTCCAAGTAACTGGAACTACAGGCATGCATCACCATCTCTAGCCAATTTGTTTTTTGCTTTTGGGTTTTTGTTTTTTTTATTGTAGAGACAAGGTGTCGCCAAGTTTCCCAGGCTGGTCTCGAACCCCTGTGCTCAGGCAATCCTCTTGCCTCTGCCTCCCAAAGTGCTGGAGTTACAGAAATGAGCCACTGTGTCCAGCCAGAGTTATGTAGAATGGCTAAAATATTTCAAAGTCACATCTCACTCTTGTACCTCACAGTTTATATTACTTTCTTGAGGTCAAAATCCTGTATTCTTAGACCTGGTACCCTAGGATTGATCTTTTTCCTGCACCCTGTACGTGTCCAGGAAACTGGGTAGGAGGGTATGTCATACCTCGACATTCACTCTAAGGTGATAGAGTCTTACCTCTGTAATATCACATATGCCTCCAATAAATGTTTCATGCAGTGCAGGCATGGGAACCACTAAAAGGACAGGAACTTGAGACTTCGTGAAGCTAACAAAGGTTGCACAAATTGGTTTGTTTCATATCTGAGTAGCTGTCAGTATCTGTGGCAGAGTCTGGACTGTGATTTATAGTTATTATAATATAATTAAGAAGGTTGTGAAGGAGTAAACAACCCTCATCCAGTTCAAACATGTCAGTAGTCTATTTTTTTTTTCTTTACTAACATGAACATATTGTGCGTAATCAAATTAGCTTAGGCCTGTTCACAACAGATGGTATACTAGACTTTCTCCTTAAGATCTGCTACACCAAAAAATTATATCTAGAAAATCCACTCTGGCTTTGTTTCAAACTCTATCACTGGTTGTTCGCATCTGACATTTGAAATCTTCTACTGGAAGTTACCATCAGATATGGGGAAAAAAACACAGAAGGAAGATATTTACTGATATATTCTATGTCCAATTTATACAAAAGTGGCATGTTTATTTTTCCAATCCTTAAACCAAAGTACATAGTTTCAAGTCACTAATTTAAAGAGTTCTTAGGACATGCACAATAAAAAGGACTTGAAAATATCATGTAACTAGATCATTGAAAAATAATAACTAGCCGGGTTTGGTGGCTCAGCCTGTAATTCTGCGCTTTGGGGACTGAAGTGAGTGGATTGCCTGAGTCCGTGGGTTCAAGACCCACTTGGGCAACTTGGCGAGACCTCATCTCTACAATAAATCAAAAATTAGCCGGGCGTGGTAGCGCGCGCCTGTAGTTCCAGCTACTTAGAAGGCTGAGGTGGAAGGATCGCTGGAGCCCAGCAGGTCGAGGCTGCAGTAGCCC